CCCAGTCCCTCCCCTGCGCCCCCAGTCCCTCCCCTGCACTCCCAGTCCCTCCCCTGCGCCCCCAGTCCCTCCCCTGCGCCCCTCCTGCCCCGGTGACGCCCCCTCACCGCAGGGGCCGTCGAACTGCTTGGCCAGGTCCTGCTGCGTGTCGCAGGCGTGCTTCTGCAGGTGGCACAGGCTGCGGTAGTCGCGGCCGTCGCTGCCGCACACGGGGCTCTCGGCGCCGCCGCACCACGAGGGACACACGCACTTGGCCGCCTGCCCGTCAGGGGAGGGCACGCAGCTGCTGCCAAAGCTGCACGACACCTCTGCACAGGGGTCCTTGGAGCCTGGGCACGGGAGGGACAGGGCACGGGTGAGAGCCTGGCACGGGATGTGTTCCCGTTCCTGTACTGGGAATAACCCCAAACAATCCCCAAATCCATCCCTCCAAATACCCAATCTGAGGGGACACGGCACAGGTGAGAGCCTGGCACGGGATGTGTTCCCGTTCCTGTATTGGGAATAACCCAAATATATCCCAGTATCCCCCAAATCCATCCCTCCAAATGCCCAATCTGAGGGGACACGGCACAGGTGAGAGCCTGGCACGGGAGGTGTTCCTGTTCCTGTATTGGGAATAACCCAAATATATCCCAATATCCCCCAAATCCATCCCTCCAAATGCCCCAGTCTGAGGGGACATGGCACAGGTGAGAGCCTGGGATGGGATGTGTTCCTGTTCCTGTACTGGGAATAACCCAAATATATCCCAGTATCCCCCAAATCCATCCCTCCAAATGCCCCAGTCTGAGGGGACAGGGCACAGGTGAGAGCCTGGCACGGGAGGTGTTCCTGTTCCTGTACTGGGAATAACCCCAAACAATCCCCAAATCCATCCCTCCAAATGCCCAATCCAGCAGTAACGGAGCCTGAGGGACAGAGGTGGGGACACAGGTGAGAGCCTGGCATGGGATGTCTCATTCCTCTTGTGGAATAACCCAAATATATCCCAATATCCCCCAAATCCATCCCTCCAAATGCCCAACCCAGCAGCAAAGGATAAGTTTCCATCATTTCCCCAAAATTTCCCCACCATTTCCCCATCATTTCCCCACCATTTCCCCACCGTTTCCCCACCGTTTCCCCACCGTTTCCCCTCCTCATCCCCTCTGCTGGCCCCCAAGGCAGCGCTGCTGGTCCCCACGGTGCCCCCAGCCCCGTGCCCGCCCCGAGGTGTCCCTGCCCGCCGCGGGGACTCGCCACGTCCCCCACTCACCGCAGGGCCCCTTGCTGACCACCTTGATCCTCCTCTGCTGGTTGCACTGGGCCCTGTCCAGCTCGCACTCGTTGCTGTAGGTGGAGTGGTCGGAGCCGCAGACCGGGGCCACCACCGGGGCACAGGGACCCTTGCGGCACACGCACGAGGCCTGGCCCGGCTCCGCGGGGCTGCGCTCGCACACGGCCCCGAAACCGCAGAGCATGCCCCGGCACCCTGGGGACACGGGGACACACAGGGGACATGGGGACATGGGGACACACAGGGGACATGGGGACACACGGCCCCGAAACCGCAGAGCATGCCCCGGCACCCTGGGGACACGGGGACACACAGGGGACATGGGGACATGGGGACACACAGGGGACACGGGGACACATGGCCCCGAAACCGCAGAGCATGCCCCGGCACCCTGGGGACACGGGGACAGCGTGGGCACGGGGACATGGGGACACACAGGGGACATGGGGACACACGGCCCCGAAACCGCAGAGCATGCCCCGGCACCCTGGGGACACGGGGACACACAGGGGACATGGGGACACACAGGGGACATGGGGACACATGGCCCCGAAACCGCAGAGCATGCCCCGGCACCCTGGGGACACGGGGACAGCGTGGGCATGGGGACACGGGGACACACAGGGGACATGGGGACACACGGCCCCAGCACCCTGGGGACACGGGGACACACAGGGGACACGGAGACACACGGCCCCGGCACCCTGGGGACACGGGGACAGCGTGGACATGGGGACACAGAGCCCCAAAGCTGCAGAGCATGCCCCGGCACCCTGGGGACACAGGGACAGCCGTGGGCATGGGGACACGGGGACACACAGGGGACATGGGGACACAGAGCCCCAAAACTGCAGAGCATGCCCTGGCACCCTGGGGACACGGGGACAGCCGTGGGCATGGGGACAGCCATGGGCACAGGGACACGGGGGCACACATGGCATTCCCCAGCACCCTGGGGACATGGGGACAGCCGTGGGCATGGGGACACGGGGACACACAGGGGGCACAGGGACACACATGGCATTCCCCAGCACCCTGGGGACATGGGGACATCCCGTGGGCGTGGGCACACGCAGCCCCAAAGCTTCCCCTAAAATCCAATTCCCCCTCCCCGGGACAGCTCCATCCAGTCCCTGAGGTGTCCCCAGTGCCCCCTCCCAGTGCCCCCAGTGCCCCCCACAAGTCAGAACCCTCACAACCAGAGCCTGACCTACAACAAAGGGAGAAGAGGAACCCTGAGATCAAACCCCTCATCTACACTTCAGCTCCAGGGTTTGCCTCTGGCTGCCTGGAGACTTGGGAGATAAATCCCATCAATCCCGGGAAATCAAAAGGAAAAGGATTCTCCTCCTCTCCTGCCTGAGCACGGGATAAATCCCAAAAATCCCGGGAAATCAAAAGGAAAAGGATTCTCTGCCCTCACCCCAGCACGAGATAAATCCCATAAATCCCAGGAAATCAAAAGGAAAAGGATTCCCCTCCTCTCCTGCCCGGGATCTAAAGGGATTCACCATTTTTCTGAGGAGCTGGGATGCAGCCTGAGCTGCTCCTTCCCTGTCTTTGGGTTTTTTAAAATGCAGATGAGGTGTAAAAATTCCGGGGGAATGGGAATTTCGGGATTCAGCCCGAGGGAAGGGGCTGGGAGTGGGAATGGAGCTGCCTTAGAGGGGAAGCAAAAAGGGAGGAAAAAAGGAGGGAGAAGGGGTGGGAATAAAAGGAGAGGGAAAGGCCGGGGTGAAAAGGGTGCAGGGGAAAAAAGGCAGGGAAAAAGCAGGAAAAAAGCAGGAAAAAAGCAAGGGGAATAAAGGTGGAGAAAAGAAGAGGGAAGTTGGGAAGAAGGGTGGGGGAAAAGGCAAGGGGAAAAAAGGTGGAAAGGTGGGGAAAAGGGTAGAAAGGTAGGGAAAAAAACCCTTGTGCCCAAAAGGATCAGCAAGAAGGGCAGGGCTGGGCATTAATTAATTCTGGGTGGGTATTAATTAACTCGGGCTGAGCGAGGTGCCCGTTGCCATGGAGAGCAGCTGGGCTGGCGCTGGAGCCCAGCCCTGCTCATCAATATTCAAATTTTCAGCCCTGCCTCATCAATATTCAAATTTTCAGCCCTGCCTCATCAATATTCAATCCTGCCCAACAATATTTGATTATTCAGCCCTGCTCATCAATATTCGAATATGCAGCCCTGCTGCCAAGGGCACCCAGAGCCCCGTTAAACCCAGCCCAAAGCCTGTCCTAAACCTGCCAAACGAAATGCGGATGAAAAATTAAACTCTACAATTTTAATAAAGATTTTTAGGGATGGGCACGTTTATTTATAGCGCTGTGGACGCATGTGGGGACTTACTGCCCTTTAATGGACATGTGTATTTTTGAGAACTTTTGATTATTTTTTAATTATTTTTACTAATTTCTATATGCATAGAATTTTATAATAGGTTAATGCATATTTATTCTGCTGATTTTACCTTATTCTTAGAGCTAGTTCTACTTGCACTTAGCTTTTGTCAGAAAGTACAGAAAGAACTCTTGGGTTACTCTGCCCCATCCGTCTCAAGGTCTGAGGAGCTTTTCTTATCTCTTATTTTTAGTGTGGAAATTTGTATTCTTTTCTTTAGCTGGGCTAAACTAAACAGCACATTCATCAAGCTCAAAGGAGCACCTTTTCCTTAAATTTAAATAAATGTTTATCTTATTAAATTCTCACTCTGTCTCACAAGGGCGCCCAGAGCCACGTCAAACCCAGCCCAGGCACAAAACCAGCCAAACCCACCCCAGCAGCAGCAGGGACCCTCCCTGCGCCCCCTGCCCCCCAAAACCCTCCTGAACCCCCGGGAGGAATTTCCCCCCAGGAGCCTCGGCAGCCTCCCAGAATTTTGTGCTTTTCCAGGGATTTTTGGAATTCTGGCATCTGGCTGGGCTGGGCTGTTCATATTTTGGAGCCCTGAGCAAGGAGTTCCGCCCACGTGGGGGTTTATTTTTCGCTCGGGATGCCAATTTTAGATTAATCACATTTTATCTCGCACACCCTTCTCTCCCCCACCCCCAGCAGGGGAGGCAAAAATGAAGTTTTTAAAAAAGCAACGAGCAGGTTATTAATTGGCTGCCGGGCTCTTATCTGTGCACGTGGAGCCTGCCAGCAAAGGCAGGGGTTTAAAGCTGGCTTTGAAAAGGAACAAAGCTCCTGTGATGGTTTTATCTCAGCCTGGGCTTCCCAGCAGCTCCTGGAGCTGATAAAAACCTCCAGAAAAAAAGAAAAAACAAAAAAAAAAAAAACCCCAAAAAACCCCAAAATTCTCTGTGAAACCAGAGGAAAGGTGGGAGAGTGGTAGAGGCAAGAATGAAAACACAAAAATTCACCTTTTGCAGCCCTGCCCTGCTTCCAGCCAGGAAAATCCCCGGAGAAAAGGAGCCCTGAGGGGCACCTGCCCCCTGCTCACCCCAACCCTGCACCCCAGGGAGGGACCCCAAATCCCCCAAATCCCCCAAATCCCCCCGGATCAGCGGGGTCAGGAGAGGCTTCCCTGCGGGAAGGGCCAGCCCGGGGGACACTCCTGCTGTCCCCAAATGTGTGGGGACACTGGGCACTCGCTGTCCCCTGGTTTGGGGACACTGGGCACTCGCTGTCCCCGGGTTTGGGAACACTCCTGCTGTCCCCAGGGTTTGGGGACACTGGGCACTCGCTGTCCCCGGGTTTGGGACACTGGGCACTCGCTGTCCCCGGGTTTGGGACACTGGGCACTCGCTGTCCCCGGGGTTTGGGACACTGGGCACTCGCTGTCCCCGGGTTTGGGACACTGGGCGCTCACTGTCCCCGGGTTTGGGACACTGGGCACTCGCTGTCCCCGGGTTTGGGACACTGGGCACTCGCTGTCCCCAGGGTTGGGGACACTGGGCACTCACCATCCCTCGGCGGCGGCGGCGTCTGCGTGAAGTAACTGTTGGGTTTGTCTGCAAGGAAACAAAAACCGTGGAGCTGTCAGAGGTTCCTCGGGCACAGCCCTGCCCCAGCCCTTTTTGGGATGGTGTTCATCCCTCCTCGAGCAGGTTTGGCTCCCAGGAGCTCCTGGAGGCAGGAAGGGGAACCAGGATCACCAAAACCTGGTCTGGGATAACCCCAGGAATCAGCAGAGCTGTCACAGGTTCCTCAGACACAACCCAGCCCTTTTTTGGGATGGTGTTCACCCCTCTCCTCGGGCACAGCCCTGCCCCAGCCCTTTTTCGGGATGGTGTTCATCCCTCCTCGAGCAGGTTTGGCTCCCAGGAGCTCCTGGAAGAGCCAGGATCACCAAAACCTGGTTTGGGACAGCCCCAGGTAGCGCTGGAGCGTCTCTGGCGCGGGATGTGGGAGCAGCCCCCAGGCCCAGCTCCTGCCCGGCTCCTTGGGACACCCGTGGGACACAGGCTGGACACTCCCGTGCGTGGGACACTCCCTGGACACTCCCGTGTGTCCCCCCTGGACACTCCCGTGTGTTCCCAGGGTTTATTCCCAAGGCCGGGCTGCAGGAGCTGCTGGCCTCCCCACAGGCTCGGGGAGCCCAAGGGCAGGCCGGAGTTTGGGGTGCTCCTCGGGAAGGGGAGCAGCTGTGCCGGTGGCAGGAACAACCTGGATCCACCGCCAGGGGTGGGATCCACCGCCAGGGGTGGGATCCACCGCCAGGGGTGGGATCCACTGCCAGGGGTGGGATCCACCGCCAGGGGTGGGATCCACTGCCAGGGGTGGGATCCAGTCGCTGCACCTGGGATCAGAGCCAGACCTCAGGGGAAATCCTCACATCCCCTGGATCACCTCCTGCATCAGCCCTTCCCAAATCCTCACATCCCCCTGATCATCACCTGCACCAGCCCTTCCCAAATCCTCACATCCCCCTGATCATCACCTGCACCAGCCCTTCCCAAATCCTCACATCCCCCAGATCATCTCCAGCCCTTCCCAAATCCTCACATCCCCTGGATCACCTCCTGCATCAGCCCTTCCCAAATCCTCACATCCCCTGGATCACCTCCTGCACCAGCCCTTCCCAAATCCTCACATCCCCTGGATCACCTCCTGCACCAGCCCTTCCCAAATCCTCACATCCCCTGGATCATCTCCAGTCCTTCCCAAATCCCCACATCCCCTCAAACATCACCTCCATCATCCTCACATCCCCCAGATCACCTCCAGCCCTTCCCAAACCCTCCCGTTCCCGGATCCCCGCCCGGATTTGGGACGGGGCGCGCCGGCAGCAGCAGCAGCAGCAGCAGCAGCAGCAGCAGCAGCAGCAGTGCAGCAGCAGCACCAGCAGTGCAGCAGCAGGTGGGCGCTGCCCAGCCCACGCAGAGCCGCCCTCGCCGCGCTGCTGCCGCTTCCCTGCCAGGGCACAGCGGGGCAGGGATGTGCCAGGGCCGGGATTGTCCCCGGAGCCCCGGAGCGCGGCCCTGCCCCGCTCGGGGACACCTACAGTTGTTGAGGAAGAGCAGCACGGCGAAGCCCAGCGTGGAGGTGGCCAGCAGGATGAGGCAGATGTTGCAGGGGATCATGAAGTAGCGCACCACCAGGGACACCTTGTGCTGGTACAGCCGGTCCCGCTCCAGGGCTGCCGCGGGGTGCTGGCACGCCGTCATGCTGGGCTCTGGCACCCCGCGGGCCGCCGGCCGCCCGCCTCGGCGGCCGCAGGGCTCACATGGATCCCCGGCCCCGCGGCTCTGGCAGCCTAGCTTGTCCCGCAGGTTCCCATCTCGGCGGGCAGCAGGATGGGGGCACCTTCAGCACCCCATGCCCGGCGGGGCCATGGCAGAGGCGCGGCCTCGGGGACAGCTCGGGGACACTCAGCCAGCCCCCGAGGTGTCCATGCACGGCTGCCCGCGGAAAGGAAACCAAAATCCCCAGAAGGGAAACCGAAATCCGCAGAAGGGAAACCGAAATCCGCAGAAGGGAAACCGAAATCCACAGAAAGCAATCCAAAATCCCCAGAAGGGAAACCGAAATCCCCAGAAAGCAATCCAAAAACCACAGAAAGCAATCCAAACTCCCAGCAGCGCTGAGGGCTCCAAATCTGTGCCTGAGCCCACCCAAGACAAGGACACGCTGGGGTGGGAATGTCACAGCAGGACAGGGACAGCACCAGCACGGAGCACTCCCAGGCTCGGGAATATCGCTGTCCTCTGGGATATCTGCTGAGATCCTCCGGGAAAACCCCTGGGATCCTCTGGGAAAACTGCTGAGATCCTCCAGGAAAACTGCTGAGATCCTCTGGGATATCTCCTCAGATCCTCTGGGATAACTGCTCAGATCCTCTGGGATAACCACTCAGAATCCTCCGGGATATCCTCTCGGATCCACGCCGGCCTCGCTCCGGGCACTCGCAGCTCCCTCCGCTGTCCAGCGGCTGCTCCAGGACACGTCCGGCAGCCTCTGACCCTCCGCAGGTCCTCACAGCCGGAGCAGCCAAAAATTCCGGGAGCAGCCCAAGGATTCCAGGAGAAACCCAAAATTCTGGGAGCAGCCAAGATTCGGGAGCAGCCCAAGGATTCTCAGAGAAGCCCAAAATTCTGAGATCAGCCCTGGGATTGCAGGATCAATCCAAGGATTCCAGGATCAGCCTCAGGACTCCAGGATCAGCCTCAGGACTCCAGGACCAGCCCCGGGATTGCAGGATCAGCCCTGGGATTGCAGGATCAGCCCCAGGATCAGCCCCGGGATGCCGGGATGCAGCTCAGCCCGAGGCAGATGCTCTCAGCTCCGCTCCAGCACATCCCCGCTCCCGTTGCAGGCTCACCCGGCTCCGCAGCGCCGTGCCGAGCCCCGGGCCGGCGGGAAGGGGCCCGGCTCGGCCCCGGCGGGGCCGGCTGCCCGTGCCCCCCTCACGCCGCTCGGACATGCCGGACCCCGCCGGAGGCTCCGTGGCTCCGCGCCGAGCCCCGCATGGAGCGGCCGGAGGGACGCAGGGAGGGAAGGAGGGAGGGAAGGAGGCTGGGAGGGATGGAGGGAGCGAGGCAGGGATGGAGGGAGCGAGGCAGGGATGGAGGGAGCGAGGGAGGGAGGCTGGGAGGGATTGAGGCAAGGATGCACAGAAGGATGGAGGGAGGCTGAGAGCGATGAAAGGAGGTTGGGAGGGATGCAGGGACGCTGGGAGGGATGGAGGGAGGCTGGGAGGGATCGGGGCAGGGATGCACGGAGGGATGCAGGGAGGCTGGGAGGGATGAAAGGAGGTTGGGAGGNAGGGAGGCTGGGAGGGATGAAAGGAGGTTGGGAGGGATGAAAGGAGGCTGGGAGGGATGGAGGGAGGCTGGGAGGGATGAAAGGAGGTTGGGAGGGATGAAAGGAGGCTGGGAGGGATGCAGGAACGCTGGGAGGGATGGAGGGAGGCTGGGAGGGATCGGGGCAGGGANGGATGAAAGGAGGTTGGGAGGGATGAAAGGAGGCTGGGAGGGATGCAGGAACGCTGGGAGGGATGGAGGGAGGCTGGGAGGGATCGGGGCAGGGACGGAGGGAGGTGGGTCCCCAGTCCCGGCGCTCTCCGAGAAGCGGCCGCGCAGCAGCAGACAAGGCAGCGGCGGCGCGGATGGAGCCCGGCGCCCGCCCCGGAGCCTCCCCGACCCTCCGCCCGCCCCTCGGCCCGGCCCGGCGGGGAGGGGGCGCGGCGAGACCCTCGGCACAAAGGGGAGCGGGGGCGCAGGGGCGCGGCGCAGACAAAGAGCGCGGCGGGCGGGGGTCGCGCAGGAGCCGCGGCCCCACCCCGAACAGGGCGTGGGGACCCCCAGGACCCCCGGGATGGGCAGGGAGGGCTGGGGGCGGTGGGAGCTCAGCCCCTCCAGCCTCTGCCCCGCTCCTCCGCCGGCATCGCCCACCCGGAGACGCCCGGAGCCACGGGAACCGCAGGGAAAATCCCGGCTGTTATTTTTTTCGGATGTTATCGGCACGGATTTGGCACAGCTTCCCCAAAAGCAGCCGGGAAAAGGAGCAGGGATGGGAGCGCTCCATCGCTGCGGGCTCCCGGCTTTTCCCGCACGGGAAAGGGGCCGCCGGCTCCGGGCACGGATGGCCGAGGGAAACCCGGAGCTCGCCCGGCGCTCCCTCGGGTGAGGCTCTGCCAGGATGGAATTCCGGCACCACACACAGCACGGTCCCTGCTGCCGCTGGAAGGGGCCCCGGGACGCGCTGGCTCCTTCCTCAGCCACCGCAGCCCCGTCTTCCTCGGCACGGAGGGAGGCTGCGAGAAAACCCCGCAGGAGGAAGCTGAGGGGACGACGGAGACCCTGGGCTGAGGTGATCACACAAAAACCTGGGTTATCGCCCAAAAACCTGGGTTATCGCCCAAAAACCTGGGTTATCATCCAACAAACCTGGGTTATCTCCCAAAAACCTGGGTTATCATCCAACAAACCTGGGTTATCACCCCAAAAAACCTGGGTTATCATCCAACAAACTGGGTTATCACCCCAAAAAACTGGGTTATCATCCAACAATCTGGGTTATCACCCCAAAAAAACCCTGGGTTATCACTCCCACGGGGGGACGCTGGGTGGTCCGGGACGGGCACAAGCGGCCCCCCACCCATCCCACAGAGCCCCCCTGCTCCCCTCCGAGGGCTGGGAGCACCCCGAGGTGCGAGTCCCAGAGGAGAAACAGAGAAAGAGGGGGGAAAACCCAAATCAGCCCAGGAGATTGCTGGTCTGGAATCCCGCCTCGCTCCCTGCACCCTTCAGTGTCTCCTGCACCCTTCAGTGCCTTCTGCTGCACCCTTCCCATCCCACCTCCTGCACCCTTCAGTGCCTCCTGCACCCTTCAGTGCCTTCTGCTGCACCCTTCCCATCCCAGCTCCTGCACCCTTCCCATCCCACCTCCTGCACCCTTCAGTGTCTCCTGCACCCTTCAGTGCCTTCTGCTGCACCCTTCCCATCCCATCTTCTGCACCCTTCAGTGCCTCCTGCACCCTTCCCATCACATCTCCTGCACCCTTCCCATCTCCTGCACCCTTCCCATCCCACCTCCTGCACCCTTCAGTGCCTCCTGCACCCTTCCCATCACATCTCCTGCACCCTTCCCATCTCCTGCACCCTTCCCATCCCATCTTCTGCACCCTTCAGTGCCTCCTGCACCCTTCCCATCCCATCTTCTGCACCCTTCAGTGCCTCCTGCACCCTTCAGTGCCTTCTGCTGCACCCTTCCCATCCCAGCCCCTGCACCCTTCCCATCCCATTCTCCTGCACCCTTCCCATCCCATCTCCTGCACCCTTCCCATCCCACCTCCTGCACCCTTCCCATCCCAGCCCCTGCACCCTTCCCATCCCATCTCCTGCACCCTTCAGTGCCTTCTCCTGCATCCTTCACCTCCAGCACCTCCCAGCTAAACCACACGGTAAAAATCCCAAAATTCCATCGACTTCCAGCATAACCACATGGTAAAAATTCTAAAAATCCATCACCTCCCAGCTAAGCCCCATGGTAAAAATCCTAAAATTCCCAGACAAATCACACGGTAAAAATCCTAAAAATCCATCAATTCCCAGATAAATCACATGGTAAAAATCCTAAAAATCCATGAGCTCCCAGCTAAATTACACGGTAAAAATCCTAAAAATCCATCAATTCCCAGATAAATCACACAGTAAAAATCCTAAAAATCCATCAGCTCCCAGCTAAATTACACGGTAAAAATCCATCAATTCCCAGATAAATCACATGGTAAAAATTCTAAAAATCCATCAGCTCCCAGCTAAATCACACAGTAAAAATCCTAAAAATCCATCAATTCCCAGCTAAATCACACGGTAAAAATGCTAAAAATCCACCAGCTCCCAGCTAAACTACATGGTAAAAATCCTAAAAATCCATGATTTCCAGCTGAGCCCCATCCCCTGCCGCGGGAGCAGCAGGACACGGCTCCACCCTTGGGAAGCGACAGCAGCAGCTTCGATTCCTTCCCAGCCCCAAAAACCCCCGAAAAGCCGAGCTGCTGCTCGGGGATGATTGACAGCTGTGGGATGATTGACAGCTGTGGGATGATTGACAGCTGTCAGTCACCCCTGCCTCCCCGCTAATCCTGTTTGGCAGGGAGATAATTGGGATTTGTTGTTTGGGAGCTAACTGGGGGAGGAGGAGGAGGAAGAAAGGAGAAAAAAAGGAGAAGGAGGAGCGAGGAGGAGGAGGAGGAAAAAAGGAGGAGGAAAAAAAGGAGGAGAAGGAGGAAGAGGGAGGAGGAGGAGGAGGAGGAGCCTGCAGGACAGCGACGGTGACAACCCCCGAGGGTGTCCCTGCCCCTCGCCACGAGGGGAGGAGCAGCCGAGGTGGCCGCGCTGCTCCGCGGGCTCGCACCGCCACCTGCCGCCCTTCCCCTCCCCTCCTGCCCTTCCCCTCCCCTTCCCCTCCCCTCCTGCCCTTCCTCACCTCTCCTGCCCTTCCCCTCCCCTCCTGTGCCAGGAATTCCAGAGGGAGCGGAGCCCGGAGCAGCTCCAGAGACCCGCACGGGAGGAGGGGACAAATGGGGACAAACGGGGGGACAAACGGGGGCACAAACGGGGGCACCTTTCCAACCCTTCACCTCCGCAGCCCGCGGGGCTCCAGGGCTGCGCTGGCACAGCGAGGACATTCCCGGGAATCCTGACCCTTTGCCAGCCCTGGGAGAGCCAGGAGCAGCCAGCCCCAGCTCCTGTCCTGGTGCCACCGCGGCGGCATCACCGGGCACCGCTGCCACCACTGGTCCCGTGTCCCGTGTCCCATGTCCCTTGTCCCGTGCCACTTGTCTTGTGCCACTTGTCCCGTGTCCCTTGTCCCGTGCCACTTGTCCCGTGTCCCTTGTCCCGGGCATGTCCAGGCTGCCCTCAGGGGTGTGGTGGCGTGCCAGGGGACACCAGGGAGTGCCAGGGGACACCAGGGAGTGCCAGGGGCGGTGGCAGCAGCTCCTGTGCCAGGCACGGCGGTGACGAGCTCTGGGAGCACGGCCCTGGTGTGGCACCGGGCACGGGGTGGCAGCTGCTGGCACGGTGCCACTGTCCCCAAGGTGCCAGCCAGAGCTGCCAGGGCAGGGCTCTGCCCCCGGGAAGCAGCCGGCATTCCCTGCCTGGCATTCTCTGCCTGGCATTCCCTGATGGGCATTCCCTGATGGGCATTCCCTGCCTGGCATTCCCTGCCGGGCATTCCCTGCCGGGCATTCCCTGCCTGGCATTCCCTGCCGGGCATTCCCTGCCGGGGTGGGAGGCTCAGGGAGCAGCAGCCAGCAGAGGATGCTGTGGGCTTGGAAAAACTTCCCTGTGCTCCTCCCGCAGCCCCAGCTCCCTGTCCCCAGCTCCGTGTCCCCTCGGTGTCCCCAGCTCCGTGTCCCCGGCCAGCTCCGTGTCCCCAGCTCCATGTCCCCTCCCTGTCCCCAGCTCCGTGTCCCCAGCCCGGGGATGAGCACAGCCAGGAAATCCAGATTTATCCGCTCCCTCCACAGCTGGAGCTGCTTCAACGCCCTCAGCTCCCCTGGCAGCGAGGAGCAGCTGAGCTGGCACAGCTCCGTCCTCCCCACACCGCCCAAAAACTGCTCTGGGGTCGGCAGAGATCCTAAAATCCTGGGCTGAGCAGCCAAGGGGGAAGGGGAGCAGTCCCAGCCCCAAACTGGGGCACTCCAGGTTCAATCCCTCCTCCTCAGCTCCTTTGGCAGCCAAGCCCCGTCCAGCCGCGCCCTGGCCACCTCCCGGGATGGGGCAGCTCCCTGGGCACCCCGTGCCAGCGTTTTGCCACCCTCACTGTAAAAATTCCTTTATTCTATCAAACCTAAACCCTCCTCCAGCTTGAACCCACCCCTGCTTCTCCTCGCTTTTCCCCAGAATTTCCCCAGGAATTGCTCCCACCGGGAGCTTCCCAGCCCAGCCAGGAATTCCCTGGATGTGAGCGATGCCCCAGCCCCCGGAGCAGCCCAGTGCTCCCAGTTTGCCCCGGTGCCAGCTCAGGGAGCCCTGCCCGCTGGTGAAGGTGAGAGGCTGAGGATGGAGAGGAAGATGAGCCAAGCACTGTGAGGAGCCCTGAGAGCACAGCTCCACGCACCAGGGTGGGGACAGGACAAGGGGGACAGGGGACAGCTCCAGGGTGGGGACAGCCCCAGGGTGGGGACAGGACAAGGGGACAGCCCCAGGGTGGGGACAGCCCCAGGGTGGGGACAGCCCCAGGGTGGGGACAGCCCCAGGGGCACAGGGGACAGCCCCAGGGGCACAGGGGACAGCCCCCAGGGGGACAGGGGCCAGCCCCAGGGTGGGGACAGCCCCCAGGGGCACAGGGGCCAGCCCCAGGGTGGGGACAGCCCCGAGGTTGGGGACAGCCAGGAGCCCCCAGGCCATGCCCTGCCAGCCGCGGTGGCGGCTCCTCGGGCGCCTCCCACGGCCCCAGCACATCCCCAGGGATGAGGATGGCACTGGCTAAGCCAGGCTGACAGGGATGGAGAAAATGGGAATTTTGGGTTTTTTTGATCGGACAGCCCCACCACTTACCAGCGAGAAGCTTCCTATGTTCTTTAGAAAGCAGGGGAGGAGAAAAAGGAGAGAAGAAATCAGGTTAGAAGCAGGAAACAGGAGCAGCCCCCCCAAGCTTTCCTCCTCCCCAGGGCCCCTCTGCCACGGGGGCACCTCCAGCCCCACCTCCGGCCGGGCTCCCAGCCCAGGGAATTCTGTATCCGAGCCAGGGGAATTCTGTATCCCTGCTCCCAGCCCAGGGAATTCTGTATCCCTGCTCCCAGCCACGGGAATTCTGTATCCCTGCTCCCAGCCACGGGAATTCTGTATCCCAGCCCAGGGAATTCTGTATCCCAGCCCAGGGAATTCTGTATCCCAGCCCAGGGAATTCTGTATCCCTGCTCCCAGCTCAGGGAATTCTGTATCCCTGCTCGCAGCTCAGGGAATTCTGTATCCCTGCTCCCAGCCATGGGAATTCTGTATCCCTGCTCCCAGCCATGGGAATTCTGTATCCCAGCCCAGGGAATTCTGTATCCCTGCTCCCAGCCATGGGAATTCTGTATCCCAGCCATGGGAATTCTGTATCCCTGCTCCCAGCCACAGGAATTCTGTATCCCAGCC